GCATTTAAAAAACATGAACTAACATGGTGGCCTGAATCTAAGTAAGCCTGTACCACTCTCCCTACTCTGAATGTTATTTAGAGAGCAATGGCACAGCAAGATCACTTTTAATCTTATTCTCCATTGCTTCTTTGTCACAGACACATTATAAAAGCAGATTCCTGAGGTTTTTTTTCTGAATTGGGAAGGAAAAAAAATTAAAGGTCGTATCCACCTTTTTTCAGACCTCTTTGCAAAACACCCTCTAACCACCCATACAAATTAAACTCAGAATTGCTCAGAAGCATTTCATCCTTTTTGTTCATAAACTGGTAATCTTGACCTCCAGATTGTAATTTATTTTACTGAAATATTTATTTCCTTCAATAAATGATGCATTCCAGATTTGGCTCTCTTTGCAACAAAGATTACTCAAAGAGCATGACCATGAATGTACAAATTTTATTTACTGCAATCTCTTCATACAAACCATGAAGGTATAAAGCTGACTACCAGAAGAGTAACAGACAGCATTAGCAAATTCCTTTCTAAAGCTTGATAAACTTATCAAGTTAATGGTTAATGAATTTATTAAAACAGAGATAAAAGTCCAGGAGCAAAGTTCCAAAGTAAACCAGACTGATTTCATTGGTTCTTAAACCAGTATTCTAACTCATTAAAAAATAACAGTACCTGTTACCCTGTTCAGAAGCTTTTTACTACCTTGCATAGGATTGCAAAGAGTAAACCCACCAAAAGTAATGGATTGACTCCTAGAGACAACTGTTTATAAAATGGAGTCCTTTGTCTTCATTTTAAGTTTATCTTCCATCCCACTAGCTTTTTTCTTAAGAAGAAAAAAATAAGTTCCCACAGTTGCATAAAAGGATAGGTGTGGCCAGGAGAAAACAAGAAACATCTGCACCAAAGCCAGTGCTCTGTTGTTGCTCAGTGCATAACAGAGCACAGAGTCAGAATATCAGCCAGCTCACTGTGGGCGCGCTGGGATTGTTTCATTGCACGCCTACGTAAAATCATTTCATGAACCATGAGGAAAAAGATCACCCCTCTTGCTTATTATCAAGCTCTTCCAAAAAAACTATCCATTATTCATAATTATCTTCTAATGCTTCTCCCATTTGCCGCGTACAGAATCACCCCAGTGAGCACTGTCTCCTTTTGCTAGACTTCACTGACTCTGGTATTTCAGACTTGCCCTGGCAGCTGAGCAGCGGGATCGGGAAGAGCAGCATTTGCAAACGGCATTATAAAACAAGCATGCAAAAGGGCTGAACCATCCTAGTTTCGAAACAAGGTTTTCAAGTTGATAGGTACCATTAAGGAGGACAGGATGCAGCGCTCAGATGTCACTCATCCGTACAGTCTCCCGTTGATGACCTTTGCAAAGGACAAATCAATACTAAGCAGATACTGTATCTACCATTTCTTACTGTGTAGGAAAGGTCAACCAATTTTCATGTATATATCAGTTCTAACATTACTGTTTTCAGACACAGAACTGCTTAAACCTGGGAATAAAGAAAAAATCCTTATCCTGTGCATAGCACCATTTCATAACGTGATAATTTAAAAAAAAGACTTAGAATGGAAACTTACTTCATAAGCAAGGTACGATGCTTATAGAAGGAATGTAAAGCTTTACCTTGCTATCATGAAATGATCTCTACAAACACAATGTAAATGCAATTATAAACAGCATCTATGAGATTGCTTCCTTAGCAAAATCCCGTACCACCTGTGTGTTTTACCACAGAAGCAACTATTTTTTTTTAAAATACTAAGCCGTTTACATTCATTTTGTGCATGCCTGCTGCACCTTTTTTCGTTCGTATGCTCAGGCCACAGAGATTATTCTCCTCTTACAGGTCACTTAGATGGCATATTTTGAGAGAGGCCTTTATAGAAATACAGGTTTTGGTTCTATATTTAAACTTGATCCCATTTAGCTCAATGCCAAATCTTCATCCCATTAGCTCAATGCCAAATCCTTTTAGCTTCAGTGGGAAAGTTCTACAATACACATATTGCCACAGTCTAGGAGATGCCTGGTGCTGAAGTCCCAGCTGAAATTTCTTGCTTTTTTTTAATATATATTTGAATTCCCAAAGTATGCTTAAGTTTAACATTTCACAGTACCTGAAAGTTCAAGGATGAACGTTAAAACTCTATTAAATTCAACAACACTGTGTTTAAATGAAAAAGGCATTCTGTTGCATATCTTAAACACACCACAAACATAAAACAACACTAAAACTTCAGTCTGGCTCTGGTTAGAAGACACTGCTGCACTATTTGATATTGCAAGTGTAAGATCTACAAGGACAGCATTTTAAAATATTCAGAAAGCTAGTATTTTAAAACGCTTGCATATGGGAAAAGGGTTATTTAATACTCAATGTAATGAATTTCTGAGTTGCATTATCTCTGCAGCATCGTAAGGAGATATTGCACTAATGTTCTCTAGCGTATGGAAATGGAGCAATGGCATTTCCATACATCCGTACGCAAAGTCATAAAAAGGATCTATAATCTTTTGATGCATACATTTAATACATTTAGTAAGGTTTATTACAGTTCTTGCTTCCTCTTCTCAGTGTCATTCATGGTTAATGTAGAGATACGCACAATGTTAAAAATCTCTCAGCAGTTCATTTCAAGTAAAGAGAAGCAATGTTTTTAAGAATAGTTATTTTTACTCTTATTGTACTTGAGTTGGTCAAGAGGTAAGCTGTTTTGATTATTGTAGTTTTGTAAATCATAGAAAATATCCATTGACTCAAATATTTAACTATTTATGTTATTTTCTTGCAAATCCATGTTCTAAGAGTGGCTTCTGTCTGTCAAGCAAATATGAAGGCAAAACCAAATCATAGAGCTTTGTACTGTGGAACAGTGTACACTGCCAGATTAGGAAAGTCTATTCTGATGCTGCTATCACCAATATCGATAAATATAAATCAGAAATTAAGCCTTGTGTTTATTTTTAATTACTTGCTTGTGTAATCTCATCTGAAAATCAAATTAAAAAATTTTTAAAAACAAATCATATTGTTTTGGAGACAAACACTGAAAAAAACCCGTACTTCTGGCTGCAGCCATGTGCCAAAAGCAGAATTATAAGCAAGCAATTCATTTTAAGACTTCTGAAACTACCTGAATTATTCTTTTGCTGAGGAAATCCAGCCTATGCGCTGTGATGCAGGACAGAGCTGCCTGTCTCCCTGTCTTGTCACATTGCTTATTTTGATTAGCTGCAATGGCATGGAAGTATAGATCTTTAATATACTTTTATTGCCTTTTAGATAGATGACATACTGACAGTGTTTTTGGGACATTTTCTTCCTGAATTTTTGTGACTATGCCTTTTTGGTGACTATGCTTTTTAAATTTTTATTGGGGAATAATGGCTAAATTTCTATAGGGATAGATGACAAATTCTATTAGATGGAATACTGAAAATGTTCATTTGGATGCAGAGAGCTTTTTTTTTTTTCCCCAAAAGAAAAACCAACCAAACAAAAAACCCAATACAAACACTGGTATGATTCTTGTCATCTCCCATCCTGCTCTTATAAAAGTCTCACACTTTTTTAAAGCAGGATCCAAAATAAAACAAGCTGAAGATGTCAGCTCTTTTAAAGTAATCTATATAAGTTACACGGTGAAAATCTATTTCCTTACTCCCTACCAATGAAGAACACAAGAGTACAATAGTAATTATTATAGAAACAGCTACTTTCTACTGTGCCTTCGTAAGAACAACGATTAAATGGCAACATTGAAATATCACTGAGAGTAAATGGAAACCAGAATGCTAACGCTGCATGTGAGCACACAGGTATGCTCAGGAGACTCTGCAGGGCTGTAGGTATTGCTGTACCTGGCTGTAAGTGTCTGCCTTTGAAAACGGCTATTCCTCATAGACGGTTGCTTTCGTTTTATTTGGCCCTACATTAATAGATTGTCACCATGCACAGCATAAGAGAGGGTAGCGGAAGAAGCAAACATAAATACTTTCTCCAGAAAGTTGGCGGCGGGGAGGGGCAACAGATTATAGCCAGCTAGAAAGCTTGCTTTTTTTTACACCCTTATAAAAATGCAGTAAGGCAGATTTTCTTCATTACAACTGTGAACATTACAATGCTATAGTTCCATTGCTACTGATCTGAATTCTGTGATGTGTTTTGGAGAAATTTTTGCTCTTAAGGAAGATGATAAAACAAAGAGGAATCCACGACACTTCTTTCCTTGCACAGAGTGCCATTAAAAGCAGGCAAATAAACTCAAAGCATACAAATTCTTCAATAAAGACATTTTTTATAAAATAGCAAGAGTTACCTAAAACAAACCCCTAAAACCAATAACCAAGTACCTAAGTTGTGTATTTCTTCATGATGTAAACTAATGGCAGGAAGTGTACTTTCAGCACACACTGTCCTGAACTTCAGGGGGATACATTATTTAGAGATTCAGTTCACTTTCTGGCCCATACCCAGAAGCCCCAACACTCAGTTTTACCTTTTCTTTTTGCTCTTAAAAATTACACTAAAACTACTTTAAAAGGTATTTTATTACTCCAACAGAGTAACGTACACATTCCCATAAGGTTTTTATAAATTCTCACAAGCCATTATGCCCTATTTAATTTCATCTGAATTTTAACCATGTCCTTGTGCTTAGTTCCACCTTACTATCTTACCATACCATCTTACTAATAATCAAAACTTCTATATCTTAATTAAAACTGTGGACTGATATTACAGCACTAATTTAACTACAGGACTTTGAGAATTGGGGCATCTGGGAGAAAAAGAACTGACTTTGTCCAACACTTTACTGTCCAAGTACCTTGTGTTTTAAGTGAGGTGTTTTCTTTAGATGTGACTGATTGTAACACTCAGAAAATGACATCACATCAAAGTCATCAAAACAGCACAGGCCTAATCAAAATGAAAACAATGAATTGCATCATACAACATCTGAAAGAAAGATTATTCTACCTGTATCGGACATGCTCGATTGTGTCATATGTCAGCTTGCTGCTGATATTCTGACTATGAGGGTTGCCTAGGAGACAACAGAGATAGAGAAGTTAATCATTAATCACAATTTTGCTATTAATTTTTTCTTTTATCAGTCTTACACCAAGCCAGCCTGAAAAGATGACAAAGAAAGATTTAACATATACTTCACAGCAATGCCCTGAAGCTCCTTAGAGCAGTTAGTCGAAAGAAGGGACATGTAACAGAAGAAAGCAATTATGACAGACCTTGAAACTTCTCTTACTAATACTTAGGCAGTTCCCTTAAAAAGAAAATGCAACTGCATATGCACAAATGTACGAGGAAAAACTACAGATAGAATGCACATTCATAAATATATTTGCACACTAGCTAAGAAGCAATTTAGAAGAGACAGCATCTGGAGGTAATAGACATCCATGATTGGACACCAGGACTAACCCTGGGGTTTTTACTGTCTGAAATTCAAGTAGCTCATGAAAATATAAATTTTAGTGCAAAATTAGTAGCCACCTTAGCACCACTCAGCACAGACATGCATTAACAATTAAGACAGCACGTAAGAAGGGCATGAATTTATCTTCTTGAGCGAAAAAGATTACAGCAATATCCACACAGGCACAGCACACTTTCCTATTAGTAAATGCTTAAAGAACACGCCTAAACAGTTTGGAAAGAGAACAAGAAAAAAATTGCTATATTAACACAGTTTTTGCAGTAGGCTGCGATATTAGCTACTGTCTTTTTAAAATTTCAAAATCACCCTGCTGAAAGTTATTGAGTGAAGGTGCTAAAAAGAATAGTAAGTTTAGAGCTCAAACCCAAAATCTAGTACCTAGACTTTTCATGTCTGATGTTGCATTTCTGTAATTTCCAATTCAAATATTCTCAATTTAGAAGTGAGAATCTCTCTTACTTACATTCCTTTCCCTCATTTACACATGCAACAGCTAGACTGCAGTTCTTCAGGCCTGTGGATTACCACCAAGAAAAAAAACAAGGCTGCAAGTCAAACTCCCCCTTCACTCACATCTGTGTCTGTTAAATGAACTCTTTTTATACAACGGTTACTGCCCTCAGAGTTATCAGAGGCATAACTGAAAAAAAAAAAAGACTTGACCATACTAGAGCTCTCATTATCATTTTAGATGAAAGCAGTATTAAAAAAGACACAATTTGTTCTCCCATAGCATTATAGGAACTATGCTTCAAACTGGCAGCACTACTATTTCTATTCACAAGCACTCAATTGATTCACAAATTTAATTTTTTTTCCGCCACAGATGGAACTTACTATAAGGGTTGAGCCCAATGTTGTTTGAAATAACTAAGATCAGAGTGCATACATTTCACTTTACAATGGCTGTAGTGACAGAACATTAATTTTAATATCACTGACATGCACTCGAATAGGAGATTTTGAATATCATCAAATCAACGTATCTTGTTATAACAGCCAAAAAACCTATCCCTATTGAGAACAACATCTATTTTGTAGTGGAACTTAAATCCACGCTCTGGATCCTGGCCTGGCCAGGAAACAAAAGAGCGGGAAATGACACATACAATGGCACACTGAAAATGAAAACTACCCAGAACTCTCAAGTGGCTTGCCCAGGTGATAAGCACAAGTGTGCCAGTGCTTGAGTGAACAGTTTTCTTTTAAAGCAGTGGTACGTAGTTCCCAAGTGAGGAATCACTTTGCTCTATGTATCAGGGAGCACAAGAAAGACACAAAACTAGTAGAAAGGACACATAGCCCACAGATAGTAACACACAGTAAGAAATCTTGATTACTTCAGTGGGACTACTCACAGCATATACAGATAATACTGTACAGTATATTTTTTTCCTGGTTGAGCATAAATCACTCTAATGTCAATTGTCTCACACACTAACAACATTTCCTAAACAATGGATGCTGCTGCCTTTGTATAAAAGCACATTCAGTGTGCGGTTCTTGGCTAGATAACATTTGAAAGAGATGAGAGGTTTAAGTAGAGGATCTGCGGACTAAGTACTTGTAGGTGGTGCTGAAGTGCCCATGTCCACAGCTGCAATAGCTAAATCTCCACCCAGATATTGCACAATTCTGTAGATATTTTTACTCACATTCTTATGTGCAAGATTGCTTTGGTGATACGCATCCTTCTTTCTGAGTATGCACCTAAGTCTAATAGTCTGGGAGAGGTATAGCACCTATTCCCTACCTAAATTCACTTGGGATCTTTGAGCTAACCTTCTAAATAAAATTCTTATACTGCGCCACAGTATAAGTTCCCTGTGATGACTCTCACTGAGAAGGGGGGTGGTTCTGGATTCTGGTCCTTGCATAAGAAATTGTTTTTGCATTTTGTGTGGAAAAAAAAGGACTAAACAAACAGTGCTCAGAGCTACATTGTATTTGTTTATCCTCAGCATGGTGCCCTAACCCCTGGGCAACAGTCATGCTCCCTTTGATTTTTCTTCTTCACCAACACAGGCACATCCTTGGCCACCAAAGAACAAAGCTAGGGGTAACACAACTGGACTATGACTCCTTTGTAAAATCACTGGTCTTCCAGCTACTCTATAGTAGTGTTAAAAAACCCGCAAAAGTACTCTTCCAACAACTCAAGAGGCACAGTTTTGATCTATTTAGATGGAAACTTGAGAAGACTAATGGGAACACTGTTTTGCACTTACCATAAACATTGTTTCTGAGATCATCAGTAAAAGCTTTAAGTAGACTCTCTGGGAAAAGTGCTGAACCGGCATGGTCAAGGTAAGTAATCCCTATTAAAAAAAAAAAAAAAAAAATTACTAGATTTAATTTTTTAAATGTTTAATTCCATTTTCTCCCACAGACTACATTGTGAAGTGCAGCAGTCAAACACCCCTAGCACAGTACCCCACACAGAAAGTCAATTTCCGCAAACTTCCTGGGGTATGATATTTCTCTGCCTGACTTAGAGGTCTCTACAGCTCTCGAAAAGCACTTCTCAAATATGTTCCAATGGTCAGGCAATATTCACAGCAAGGCATCTTTCATTCACTAGGAGAAATAAAAAAGGAGGATACAATACAAGCCCAACATTTTGATTGCATCTTATAATTTTTAATTAAAACCAAATATTTTAAGAGGTCCTTACTTTCACGTTTAGATTGTACATTCTGTAATGGAAGAGAAAAATCTTTTTGTTCTGCCTGTACAAGACTGAGCAAGATGGTGACTTCAGCCACCGTACCTTGTTACTCCTAGGCACTACTTATTATGAAAACTACTATTACCACAATGATAGTAATTATCATTAATAGCAACAACAATAGTAGCGTTGCCTCCTTGCTGACAGATGAAGCAACTCTCTCAAGAACTGACAAGGCCTGAATCATCCTTGAAGCCCAAAGACAGTACTAGTTTAAGTTTTAATGTGTTTAAATATTTCTTGCCACTCTGCTGCACTTAACATTCAATTCATTTTTAAAATCTCGTTTTTTGTTATTAAGCTATTGCAAAACTTTTTATTTAAAAGCTTATTGGAAACGAAGGCTTTTTCATGTTTAGCCATTTTAGATTTCTTAATCTTCAGCAATTATTCTTCCATTTCTCCAGTGTGTTTCATGCCCTTTATTAGTTTTTTCATTTCACTTACCTTAAGTATTTCAACCTATTTCAAATTTTAATAATGATGAATATGATTAAGATTAGAATTTATTAAGTATTTTAAAGGCCTTCCCTTTCCATGGGGACTTAAAACTGAGTTAAGCTTTAAACGAGAAGCCTCGACACTTGGAAATATATGTAATTATACATCACGTTGCTGTAGCAGTGATTTGGTAGGTAAAGATGTGAGGCAGTGCTAATGATAAAAGGAATCTGGACATCCATCCCTTCTCTTATTTTCGAAAGAGAAAAGCCCTCCCCCTGCCTTAAAATTTCCCCACTTACAGTGTCTAGCAAAAGCAGAATTTTTAATGATGGCTTGAAGTTAGTCAAGGAAAAGTGTTTCGAGGTGATTTGAAGGGAGGAGGGTGGAAAAAAATGGATTGATTTATTAGATGTACAGACTTTTAAGGTTTTTACTTTTTTTTTTTTTATCCTAGAAAGTTTCTCCCAAGCAGTATGAAGTGGCACATACAAGCATACGGGGGTCAAAATGCATATGGGGGTCTGTCCAGCCCAGTTTCTGACAGGAGAGGTTACAGCCACTTGGCTCACCCCCGAAACACAGGGAGTTTGGAGGGCGAGAGGCACGCTGCATCACGGAGAGAGTCAGGCCCCTGCCCGGCAGAGCGGCATGGCCTCTGCCAGCAAGGGAACACCGCAAGGGGACGGCAGCTTTCCCTCCAGCAGGTCATACACTCACCGCGGCCGCCCTGCGGCGCATTGCCGGCCTGAGACCAGGGCCTGCCGCACGGCCCGCAGCTTGGCACCAAACACCTCTGCTCTGAGGTGGAGCTGAAGCGGGGAATAACAGCCACAACCACCAACATCGGGGCCCAGCTCGACGGCAGTGGTCAGGGCGATAAACAACCCACGGTCACCGGCTGCAGCTGGGAGAGCTCGGAAGGGCAGCCCTAGAGTGGGAAAGGGAAGAGGCAGCCCTGAGACAGAAACAGGGGGGAAAGACTGCTGTCCTGGAGGCGACCATCCCGGCCAACACTCTCTCTCAACAAAGCCTGTGCAGAGATGCCATTTGGCTCATTAGCTCTTACGGGCACCACAAGCACAAGCCTAGTGATGCTCCTCTGGAGGCAGACAACTGCCTTTTCTGGATTCTTCCAGCCCTAAGGAGGTTGACAGCACCAAACCGATAACGCAACCGTACAGCACGAGCAAAAACCAAGCAACCAGCTGAGGCTCCTCAAACACAAACCATCCTCCGACAAGGGGACGGGCGCTTTCTGTCCCGACCGATGCTCCTGTGAAGCAACGGGGACTAAAATGTCCTAGGTAAAGGCCCCCAAGTGGTTTTTCGAACTTGATTCATTACATAGCTAATTACAAAGTACAATATTGTGATTCTGTGAAATGGAGGCAAAAAACCAGCCGGTCATTTTTTAAATTCCTCCTCTGGGCATATTACTTTGAAAATGTGGGAGGACATTTGGCTGAGGAAGGAAAAATTATTACTTCTGAAACTTTTATTTTATCTTTAATGCTGCTGTTTAACTGAAAAGAGAGAACAGCATTTAATACTCTCTTGACTGCCCGAAAAAAAGAAATAGGCTCTCTCATCATTTGAGACTGCTCTGGAACAAATATCTTTACTGCTACTGCACTTTCATGCTGTAGGTTTCTTTTCTTCCTGTCTGCACTTTCGCTGTAGTTTTTTTTTCTTCCTGTCTTATTTCAATAAAACTGTATTTTTAGAGGGAAGAAAAAAAATATGGCACATGTATAACACCATCAAAGAAAAGAACGTTACTAACTTTCATTGTGCTTTTCCCCTGGTTTAATAACATTTGCTATTTTAACTTTATTGAACACACATTAACGAAAGAGATTTGTCAGAATATACAGAATAATATAGTTACCCCTGTTTCACTGTGCTGTTTAGTATATAGGCTGTCAGTACTATGAAATTATACTGTTTACGGACAGTAACAGGAAAAAGAAAATATAATATCATCAACCAAATGAAAATTAAAATGCACTATCTATCAGGACATGGTTTCATTGCTTGGGGAAAACGTAAAATTAACTTTTAGTTTAATTTACATACTATTATGTTTGGAATGTGTAACTGACTTCATTGATCTAACAATATACCAACTATTTGATAAAATCACATTTCAGAAGTAGTTTTTTTTATAGAAGTATCAAAAACTATTCAATGTGCCAGCATTAGTTATGGAAAGTTATTCAGCAAGAGTATCGGTTCATAAACTGTAATATTCACATGCTAATATTCTTGCAGATTAATTTTACATGGGGAACTCTTTGGGAACCAACGTGGGCCAGTCTGTCCTGCTGAAGAAAGCCCCAGCTCTCTGCGCTCCTTCTGTGCTACAATTCATCTCTTGATAAAGCATCCACCATCTCTGCGTGCCTGCCTTGGCTCTTTGTAAAACTTCAGGAGTGCACATGCAGGTACAGCCTCAGAAACACCAGGGGACCATTCAGTTTAACAGAACATTCCTATCTTTTAAATGAAAAAAGATAACCACAATTTAATTTGGAGCATTTTAAAATTAGAGTTTAAGAGCAGGGGAGAACACTGAACTATACATAGTCTGACCGCCTGCAAAACACACAAGGCAAAAGGAAATTACCTGGATTAACCTTTTGGAGCCAAAATACCTGCTTCTGACAAAAGCACGCTTTCCTAAAAGGTGATTCCACCTAACTTTGAAGAAAGTTAAAGACACCATGTGATGAACTGAGAGTAGAATAAGGAGGTTACGTCTTTATTAAATCTTTTAGTAATTATTAGGCTACGTATAAGCCTACCACCCAGAGGACGGTCTAGAGGGAGAGAAGCACAGAGAGACCATGGATGCACTCCTTACAATGGCCTGCTGGCACATGGAGAGTAAGCTTTTTCCTCTTTCACACCCCACCCGTAAACCCATGCCTGGTCACCCGGCTCCTACCTGGCTAAATTAATACTACTTTGGTATTATGTAATCTCCTCTTTTAATCCCTGAAATTGTTCTTGGTGCTATACATTTCTGAACTTTGACTGAGTATCACTTCCAAAAATAACCAATTTACCTACATTGCGTGTGGCTGCCCCATGTCCACCTCCTTAACCTTTTGCCATCCTGTGATTCTACCACGGTCACCAAAACAAGCCGACCTGTGCTGTGGCTTCACAGATTATTTATCACAGCCCCAGCACTTCAAAATTCCTGCACTCCAGCTTATCACAGGCTGCCAGTTACACTGCCAAAAGTTTCATAATGAAGAACGAAATGTGTAGTTACAAGGCAGCAACTGTACAGTCATGAATTTTGATTGGCGATTAATTGCAATTCAGTGGGATCATATTATATACACAATATTACTTGTAAAGTAGATAACAGCCAATGCCCCGGGGAGACAGTATATATCTTAAGTACAGTAATACTAAGAAAACCAGTATGAAATAGATTATATGAAAACAAGCTGAAGGCAAAAGAAAGCATTATCTGTCAAAAGATAAATATGAGAGATTTTCATACGCCAAAACAAAAGCAAGAGAAAACTGGAACAACCAAGTAACAAAATAGGGAGGAGAGGGCTCTACAGAGGTTGTAGGCAAGTGTGATATCATTTGGACACAGTGAGGTTTTAACAGGTAGTATCACATCAGGTACCTCAGGTTATTTTAGTGATCTAAGCCAGATGCCCTTTAGAGGCAGCTCCCTCTTTCCATTGACTGCATAAGAACTTAGCTCCCCCCAGGGATGCTCCTAAATTAAATGTCAAAAGTAGCTTTAACTATGTAATACATATAACCTTTATAAAAGTGCCTGAAATCTCACGATGATACAGGGTATGATATACCCACACACTGTATAGACAGATAAAGATCATGGTTCTGCAAAACCATTAATAAAGTACATTAAAAGAAAAAAAAAAAAGAAAAAATCCTAATATGGCTTAAGATTTGCATTTGCTGGATATTTTCTGGATTAAACATTTAGTGAATAGTTATCTGTACCTTCAGTTCATGTTTGGCATCAATTTAGACAAAAGTCATCAAAAAAACCAGAGTGTTTTCTGAATAACAACGTGTGTCTCAGCTAAATATTCCTGCTCTGCTAGACAAGGTAATGTTTTGTTTCCCTTGCTTAGGGCCAAAGAGCTCTTCAAAAGACCACAAAAGCACAGTGCTTGATGGGCAAGGCCATAGATGCCCAAAGCCTGAATAGTTACCATGCAGTTAAAGGAGACATTGCTCCTCAGCATGATTTGACTTAATTGCTACAGGCCAGGTGAAGTAACGCAGCAGTCAGCCCACAGCCATAGGGCACGTTCTGCTTCCCGCTGCCAGTCCAGAGTTCATCAATTCAAGTAATCACAGCTCAACCCAACTGCCAAATGCTGATCCGCACTGGACTGTGAGCAACCTGGATAATGGTGTCAGTATTTTAAGGGCCGCTAACAAGTTACTGAGTTCTGTGAGAAACTGGTGTTTAATTAATGTGTTTTAGTGTTCGACTTGACGGACTGATTACAAAAAGCAAAGCATGAAATGTGCAATTACATTTATGCGTAATAAGTTCCCATTATTTTTCTCCACGTACTATTGGCTTGCATTATTTGCTCTCATTGCATTATTACCTACAGCAAAGCAGACAGAACATTAAAACAGTTTACAGTCAATACCGTACACCGTCTTTGCTTGCCGTACTCCTCAGCAGGGGCCATACCGACTCCACAAAAGCTATTTAGGTGTCTAGGG